CTGTGTCTCCTCCAGCCTTACCTGTGTCTCCTCCAGCCCCACCTGTGTCTCCTCCAGCCTCCACCTGTGTCTCCTCAGCCTCACCTGTGTCTCCTCCAGCCTCCACCTGTGTCTCCTCCAGCCTTCCACCTGTGTCTCCTCCAGCCTTCACCTGTGTCTCCTCCAGCCTTCACCTGTGTCTCCTCCAGCCTCCACCTGTGTCTCCTCAGCCTCACCTGTGTCTCCTCCAGCCCACCTGTGTCTCCTCCAGCCTCCACCTGTGTCTCCTCCAGCCTCCACCTGTGTCTCCTCCAGCCTCCACCTGTGTCTCCTCCAGCCTCCACCTGTGTCTCCTCCAGCCTCCACCTGTGTCTCCTCCAGCCTCCACCTGTGTCTCCTCCAGCCTCCACCTGTGTCTCCTCCAGCCTCCACCTGTGTCTCCTCCAGCCTTCACCTGTGTCTCCTCCAGCCTCCACCTGTGTCTCCTCCAGCCACCATGTGTCTCCTCCAGCCTTCACCTGTGTCTCCTCCAGCCTCCACCTGTGTCTCCTCCAGCCTCCACCTGTGTCTCCTCCAGCCTTCACCTGTGTCTCCTCCAGCCTTCACCTGTGTCTCCTCCAGCCTCCACCTGTGTCTCCTCCAGCCTCCACCTGTGTCTCCTCCAGCCACCACCTGTGTCTCCTCCAGCCTCCACCTGTGTCTCCTCCAGCCACCACCTGTGTCTCCTCCAGCCTCCACCTGTGTTCTCCTCCAGCCTCCACCTGTGTCTCCTCCAGCCACCACCTGTGTCTCCTCCAGCCTCCACCTGTGTCTCCTCCAGCCACCACCTGTGTCTCCTCCAGCCTCCACCTGTGTCTCCTCCAGCCTCCACCTGTGTCTCCTCCAGCCACCACCTGTGTCTCCTCCAGCCTCCACCTGTGTCTCCTCCAGCCACCACCTGTGTCTCCTCCAGCCCCACCTGTGTCTCCTCCAGCCACCACCTGTGTCTCCTCCAGCCTCCACCTGTGTCTCCTCCAGCCACCACCTGTGTCTCCTCCAGCCTCCACCTGTGTCTCCTCCAGCCACCACCTGTGTCTCCTCCAGCCTCCACCTGTGTCTCCTCCGCCACCACCTGTGTCTCCTCCAGCCACCACCTGTGTCTCCTCCAGCCTCCACCTGTGTCTCCTCCAGCCACCACCTGTGTCTCCTCCAGCCTCCACCTGTGTCTCCTCCAGCCACCACCTGTGTCTCCTCCAGCCTCCACCTGTGTCTCCTCCAGCCTCCACCTGTGTCTCCTCCAGCCACCACCTGTGTCTCCTCCAGCCACCACCTGTGTCTCCTCCAGCCACCACCTGTGTCTCCTCCAGCCACCACCTGTGTCTCCTCCAGCCTCCACCTGTGTCTCCTCCAGCCCTTCACCTGTGTCTCCTCCAGCCCCACCTGTGTCTCCTCCAGCCACCACCTGTGTCTCCTCCACCACCACTGTGTCCCTCCAGCCACACCTGTGTCTCCTCCAGCCACCACCTGTGTCTCCTCCAGCCTCCCCTGTGTCAGTCTTCTCTGTTTCTCCCGAGTGTTTCAAAGATGTGCAATAAACGTAGCAAGTTTTCACTCTAACAACATCTTGCTCGTTGATCATATAGATCAACACTGAGCGAAACGTCGTCAGTATACAGACTTGCTGGGCCAACTCTTTCCAGCAGACTTCTCTGATCAGCCTGACAGTTAAGGTTTGCTGTCGAGTGTTTTGTCAACATGTCAGACTGTTACTCTGGCATCATCGTCAATCTCCTCCTCACGAGCCTTATTTACTGCTTCCTGAACGAGCATTTCAGCAAATCTTTGACCTTTCTGAAGATTGTCTGAGATAAATAATGTTCCGGCCCCATGCTGGCGCCGCGTAATTTAGAAATGGTCAGATATACAACGTATATCTAACCATTATTTACATCCTTGAATATTCTCCCCAGATCTGCGCAAGTCTGGCGTAGACAGCAAAATTTATGAGGATAATGGGTGTGTGTCTTGGGAAAAGGTTTGGCTTACTGCTAACACCGAGGTTTTCTTGATGCTTTAATTCTGTGAAATATTCTTGTTTCTTGTGGTAGCTTCGTCTGTATAATTTTTTTCCCACGCTAGTCCCCTTTCCTCGTATTTGCTGGGATTTAACCCGAGCAGCCACTTCTCAGGATATCCCTCTAGTCTGGCAACGTAGTTATGTTTTAGTTAGTACTCGTTTGAGTGATGTTTGTATCTGTAGTCAGTCTGAATGATGTTTTTGTTAGTACTCAGTCTGACTGATGTTTGTGTTAGTACTCAGTCTGAATAATGCTACAGCGGTACTCGTCCATTCCAGTGTTTCTTTCCATTTATCGCATTGTCTGCAAACATTTGGGGAGGCCAGCGCCGTATATACCAGACTTGTGCGGACATAAACCACACTGTATATATCATACACCACGTTAAATACAACATACAATATACTGTATAGCAGCAGAAGTCTTCCCTACAATTCTGAATAACATTCCTGTATATTTTTTGTACAAGTTTGTGGTGGGCCTCGAAGTCATTCCCCGAGCCATTATTTACCTCCCGTTCCTCGTTCCTTCCCACCATGGTTTTAGGGGTTAAAAAATGGAAATGGTGCCATTTTCCCCAGGCAGGCCTCGTGATGTTCCTACCATGAATTGATCTCTGATTTTCCATCCCCCTTTTTTTTCCCTTCGTCTGTTTTTTTGCCCCACATGTTCGGCTTTATTTTCCCCGCCACCAGGAACAGCCATTTGGGTTTAGGATTTATAAAGGTTCACGTTTATTTTTTACCTTTTAATTCTTCAGCATTTCGCTTCTTGTTAGCACTTTGTCTAGTAATCTCTTCCTGTTGTTAGCACTTTGTCTAGTAATCTCTTCCTGTTGTTAGCACTTTGTCTAGTAATCTCTTCCTGTTAGCACTTTGTCTAGTAATCTCTTCCTGTTGTTAGCACTTTGTCTAGTAATCTCTTCCTGTTGTTAGCACTTTGTCTAGTAATCTCTTCCTGTTGTTAGCACTTTGTCTAGTAATCTCTTCCTGTTGTTAGCACTTTGTCTAGTAATCTCTTCCTGTTGTTAGCACTTTGTCTAGTAATCTCTTCCTGTTGTTAACACTTTGTCTAGTAATCTCTTCCTGTTGTTAGCACTTTGTCTAGTAATCTCTTCCTGTTGTTAGCACTTTGTCTAGTAATCTCTTCCTGTTGTTAGCACTTTGTCTAGTAATCTCTTCCTGTTGTTAACACTTTGTCTAGTAATCTCTTCCTGTTGTTAGCACTTTGTCTAGTAATCTCTTCCTGTTGTTAGCACTTTGTCTAGTAATCTCTTCCTGTTGTTAGCACTTTGTCTAGTAATCTCTTCCTGTTGTTAGCACTTTGTCTAGTAATCTCTTCCTGTTGTTAGCACTTTGTCTAGTAATCTCTTCCTGTTGTTAGCACTTTGTCTAGTAATCTCTTCCTGTTGTTAACACTTTGTCTAGTAATCTCTTCCTGTTGTTAGCACTTTGTCTAGTAATCTCTTCCTGTTGTTAGCACTTTGTCTAGTAATCTCTTACTGTTGTTAACACTTTGTCTAGTAATCTCTTCCTGTTGTTAGCACTTTGTCTAGTAATCTCTTCCTGTTGTTAGCACTTTGTCTAGTAATCTCTTCCTGTTGTTAGCACTTTGTCTAGTAATCTCTTCCTGTTGTTAGCACTTTGTCTAGTAATCTCTTCCTGTTGTTAGCACTTTGTCTAGTAATCTCTTACTGTTGTTAACACTTTGTCTAGTAATCTCTTCCTGTTATTAACACTTTGTCTAGTAATCTCTTCCTGTTGTTAGCACTTTGTCTACTAATCTCTTCCTGTTGTTAACACTTTGTCTAGTAATCTCTTCCTGTTGTTAGCACTTTGTCTAGTAATCTCTTACTGTTGTTAACACTTTGTCTAGTAATCTCTTCCTGTTGTTAACACTTTGTCTAGTAATCTCTTCCTGTTGTTAGCACTTTGTCTACTAATCTCTTCCTGTTGTTAACACTTTGTCTAGTAATCTCTTCCTGTTGTTAGCACTTTGTCTAGTAATCTCTTCCTGTTGTTAATACTTTGTCTAGTAATCTCTTCCTGTTGTTAACACTTTGTCTAGTAATCTCTTCCTGTTGTTAACACTTTGTCTAGTAATCTCTTCCTGTTGTTAACACTTTGTCTAGTAATCTCTTCCTGTTGTTAGCACTTTGTCTAGTAATCTCTTCCTGTTGTTAACACTTTGTCTAGTAATCTCTTCCTGTTGTTAACACTTTGTCTAGTAATCTCTTCCTGTTGTTAACACTTTGTCTAGTAGTCTCTTCCTGTTGTTAGCACTTTGTCTAGTAATCTCTTCCTGTTGTTAAACTTTGTCTAGTAATCTCTTCCTGTTGTTAACACTTTGTCTAGTAATCTCTTCCTGTTGTTAACACTTTGTCTAGTAATCTCTTCCTGTTGTTAACACTTTGTCTAGTAGTCTCTTCCTGTTGTTAACACTTTGTCTAGTAATCTCTTCCTGTTGTTAACACTTTGTCTAGTAGTCTCTTCCTGTTGTTAACACTTTGTCTAGTAATCTCTTCCTGTTGTTAACACTTTGTCTAGTAATCTCTTCCTGTTGTTAGCACTTTGTCTAGTAATCTCTTCCTGTTGTTAGCACTTTGTCTAGTAATCTCTTCCTGTTGTTAGCACTTTGTCTAGTAATCTCTCCCTTTTGTTAACACTTTGTCTAGTAATCTCTTCCTGTTGTTAGCACTTTGTCTAGTAATCTCTTCCTGTTGTTAACACTTTGTCTAGTAATCTCTTCCTGTTGTTAGCAAACATCCCTTTTCTCAGAATTCATAAAAAAATATTACTACCTCGGTGTACTCACCTTGCGCCGGGGTGCATGTACTCAGCATGAATTGGAGTACAAATTCTTACCTTGGGCTGGAGGACAAGTTCTCACCTTGTGCTTGAGTACAAGCACTCACCATGGGCTGGAGTACAAGTACTCACCTTGTGCTTGAGTACAAACACTCACCTTGGGTTGGAGTTCGTAATCAAGGGGGGCGGCCAGAGTGATGAGTCCAGAGCGCTGGTCGATAGTGAAGAGTCCATCTCTATTGCCTCCAGTGATGCTGTACCTCACCGCCATACCTGTAACAACACACCTGCAGTCAGCCACACCTGTAACAACACACCTGCTGTCAGCCACACCATTAACAACACAGCTGCAGTCAGCCACACCTGTAACAACACAGCTGAAGTCAGCCACACCTGTAACAACACAATGACGCCCCAGTACACCTCAGAATCTGTCTCTCAAGCACCTCACTGCTCATCACGATAACAGTGATGACAACACTGGGGAAAATCATCACAAGCTCCAGTAAGATTACATCTCAGGTTACTCAAGGAGACAGGTGGTGACACCAGGTGACAGGTGGTGACTCCAGGTGACAGGTGACTTGGGTAACGGGAAACTACTGCAAGCAGTAAGAGGGTGTGAATGTAACACACTGTCTCCTGGTGACCTAAAAAGCCGTAGGGCGAACATCATAATGCTATGGCTGGAATAATTCACAACTAACCCACAATATCCTGGCTGAAATAATTCACAACTAACCCACAATATCCTGGCTGGAATAATTCACAACTAACCCACAATATCGTGGTGGAACAATTAAAAAATAACCCACAGTATTGTAGCTGGATCTATTCTCAAATACCCCACAATACCCTGGTTGCAACAATTCGTAAGTAACCCATAATACCGTGGCTGAAGCTGTTCATAACTATCCCATAATACCATGGTTGGAACAATTCAAAAGTAACCACAATACCATGGCTGCAACAATTCACATGTAACCCACAATACCATGGCTGCAACAATTCACAACTAACCCACAATATCCTGGCTGCAACAATTCACAGGTAACCCACAATTTGGAGAAACGTTAGACGATGTTTCGGCTACAGGTCGAGGCTACAGGTCGAGGCTACAGGTCGAGGCTACAGGTCGAGGCTACAGGTCGAGGCTACAGGTAGAGGCTACAGATCGAGGCTACAGGTAGAGGCTACAGGTCGAGGCTACAGGTAGAGGCTACAGGTCGAGGCTACAGGTCGAGGCTACAGGTAGAGGCTACAGGTAGAGGCTACAGGTCGAGGCTACAGGTAGAGGCTACAGGTAGAGGCTACAGGTAGAGGCTACAGGTCGAGGCTACAGGTAGAGGCTACAGGTAGAGGCTACAGGTAGAGGCTACAGGTCGAGGCTACAGGTAGAGGCTACAGGTCGAGGCTACAGGTAGAGGCTACAGGTAGAGGCTACAGGTAGAGGCTACAGGTCGAGGCTACAGGTAGAGGCTACAGGTAGAGGCTACAGGTCGAGGCTACAGGTAGAGGCTACAGGTCGAGGCTACAGGTAGAGGCTACAGGTCGAGGCTACAGGTAGAGGCTACAGGTAGAGGCTACAGGTCGAGGCTACAGGTAGAGGCTACAGGTAGAGGCTACAGGTCGAGGCTACAGGTAGAGGCTACAGGTAGACGCTACAGGTCGAGGCTACAGTAGAGGCTACAGGTAGAGGCTACAGTAGAGGCTACAGGTAGAGGCTACAGGTCGAGGCTACAGGTAGAGGCTACAGGTCGAGGCTACAGTAGAGGCTACAGTCGAGGCTACAGGTACGAGGCTACAGGTCGAGGCTACAGGTAGAGGCTACAGGTCAGGCTACAGTGAGGCTACAGGTCGAGGCTACAGGTCGAGGCTACAGGTCGAGGCTACAGGTAGAGGCTACAGGCGAGTAAGGCTACAGTCGAGCTACAGCGAGGCTACAGGTAGAGGCTACAGTAGAGGCTACAGGTAGAGGCTACAGGTCGAGGCTACAGGTCGAGGCTACAGGTAGAGGCTACAGGTCGAGGCTACAGGTAGAGGCTACAGGTCGAGGCTACAGGTCGAGGCTACAGGTAGAGGCTACAGGTCGAGGCTACAGGTCGAGGCTACAGGTCGAGGCTACAGGTCGAGGCTACAGGTCGAGGCTACAGGTCGAGGCTACAGGTCGAGGCTACAGGTCGAGGCTACAGGTCGAGGCTACAGGTCGAGGCTACAGGTCGAGGCTACAGACCGAGGCTACAGGTCGAGGCTACAGGTCGAGGCTACAGGTCGAGGCTACAGGTCGAGGCTACAGGTCGAGGCTACAGTCGAGGCTACAGTCGAGGCTACAGGTCGAGGCTACAGGTCGAGGCTACAGGTCGAGGCTACAGGTCGAGGCTACAGGTCGAGGCTACAGGTCGAGGCTACAGGTCGAGGCTACAGGTCGAGGCTACAGCGAGGCTACAGGTGAGCTACAGGTCGAGGCTACAGGTCGAGGCTACAGGTCGAGGCTACAGTCGAGGCTACAGGTCGAGGCTACAGGTCGAGGCTACAGGTCGAGGCTACAGGTCGAGGCTACAGGTCGAGGCTACAGGTCGAGGCTACAGGTCGAGGCTACAGGTCGAGGCTACAGGTCGAGGCTACAGGTCGAGGCTACAGACCGAGGCTACAGGTCGAGGCTACAGGTCGAGGCTACAGGTCGAGGCTACAGGTCGAGGCTACAGGTCGAGGCTACAAGTACGCGAGGCTACAGGTCGAGGCTACAGGTCGAGGCTACAGGTCGAGGCTACAGGTCGAGGCTACAGGTCGAGGCTACAGGTCGAGGCTACAGGTCGAGGCTACAGGTCGAGGCTACAGGTCGAGGCTCCCAGGTACAGAGAGGCTACAGGTCGAGGCTACAGGTCGAGGCTACAGGTCGAGGCTACAGACCGAGGCTACAGGTCGAGGCTACAGGTCGAGGCTACAGGTCGAGGCTACAGGTCGAGGCTACAGGTCGAGGCTACAGGTCGAGGCTACAGGTCGAGGCTACAGGTCGAGGCTACAGGTCGAGGCTACAGGTCGAGGCTACAGGTCGAGGCTACAGGTAGAGGCTACAGGTCGAGGCTACACCTGCTCCACCCTCATCATCTGTAGGAACCTTCGTTCACCAATGAGACCATTCTCATGCTGAAAAATATCGAGGCCGCTTTAGCTAATTGGGTCGTCGCTGGGGCCAGAACAAGCGAGACCTAAAGAGACCGAGCGAGACCGAAGGGGATCCAGCCAGACTGATAGAGAGACCAGTTAAGGCCGAGCCAGACAGCCTGAGAGAATTTTCAGAAAAATGTTCTCCAATACCTCTCACTATTTCTGTTTCCTAATAATAAATAATAATGATCACAGTTACGACACCTGTTTTGTCTATATATATATATATATATATATATATATATATATATATAATATATATATATATATATATATATATATATATATATATATATATAATTATATATTATTATTATTATTATTATTATTATTATTATTATTATTATTATTATTGGAGCCTTGTCTCTCCCTGGTCAAAATCTCACTCATTTTCACATGGACAGATTATGAATTAGGATTTCACTATTAAAATTTTAGGAAAACTCTGCTGAACTGGATCAGGACAAAAAAAATGGAAGTCTGTGTTTAAATATAACTCTGGCGATAATTCTATCCCGGGATAATTAAAAATCCATAACTGTAGCTCTTATCTCTCTCTCTCTCTCTCTCTCTCTCTCTCTCTCTCTCTAATTTGCCAGACATTACATGATTCGGTTAATGCTTTTTGCTAACCTAGTGCTGGGAAATTAAAAATTACTCGGCGTTCACTATTGATTTTGAGCCGCATCAAGGAATTGTTTGCCGATCATATATATGTGAGGTATTTTAGGTCTGTTCTGAATCTACCTGTGGACTCAGAGGGGTAAATGTGGTGGTCTCCAGGTGGGTGTGACTGTCAGGGGGGCGTGGCTGTCAGGTGGGAGTGGCTTTCAGGTGGATGTGACTGTCAGATGGGAATGACTTTCAGGTGGGTGTGGCTGTCAGGTTCGCTTGGCTTTAGGTGGGCGTGGCTGTCAGGTGGGGCGTGGCTGCTATGTGGGCGTGGCTCTCAGGGGGAGTCGTGGCTGTCAGGTGGACGTGGCTGTCAGGACACCATACAGATGAGAAACTCCCATCCACGTTTCGTCTGGGGCAGGCAGTATTACGTAAGAAAGAAAATCTCTCTCCCTCTCTCTCTCTGTACGTCTGTCTGTCTCACCGCCTGTCTGTCTGTCTGTCTGTCTGTCTCTTTCTTCTCTTTTATTACGAAGTGAAGATAACGAATGGTGTTAAAAAAATCAACGCTGGCTTCTCTTTTTTTTTCAGAGGAAGGAATGCTTGCCAAGCGAAAGCCAACTCCTTGTAATGAGAGGGGTAGGAGAGGGGGGAGGTGAAAGAAGGAAAGGAAAAGGAGATAGGAAAGCGAATTAGGGTGATGAAGAGAGTAGAGCTGGAGAGGAGAGAATAGAGAGAGATGAAGAGGGGAGGGGGGAAAGAAGACTGGTAATCAGAGAGAGCAAGAGGTGGGGGGAAAATGGAAAGTGGGAGATGGAGATAGAGGGGAAAAGGGAGAGAGTAAGAGAGAGAGAGGGAGAGAGAGAGAGAGAGAGAGAGAGAGAGAGAGAGAGAGAGAGAGAGAGAGAGAGAGGAGAGAGAAGAGAGAGAGAGAGAGAGAGAGAGAGAGAGAGAGAGAGAGAGAATAGAGAGGGATGTAGAGATAATCGGAGAGGGCAACAAAATTGTCCTGATTGGGATAAACAGCACAGTGTGTGTGTGTGTGTGTGTGTGTGTGTGTGTGTGTGTGTGTGTGTGTGTGTGTGTGTGTGTGTGTGTGTGTGTGTGTGGTGGGCAAATAACACAGGTAAACTATGCAGCAGCCGCCAAACTCAGCTCAGCCAACTCTAATCAAATGCGAGAGTTTTAACCCTAATAATGATCTCACCAAACTGCATTAAGCTCGCCTCATTTGTTCCACTTATACTCAATGGAACAAATTCCTGGAGGCCGCGCACAACAGACACACAGACACACAGACAACACACAGACACACAGACACAGACACAGACACAGACAGGCAGACACACACACACCCACACACATGAATAATGAAAAAGCCAGGATGAGCCCATGGTTCACTCAAAGGTGCAGGGAGGCAAAAACCAAGTGTGCTAGGGAATGGAAGAAATATAGAAGGCAAAGGACCCAGGAGAATAAGGAGAGCAGTC